GGTCCCTGGGCCCTCGGTATAGCCCAGATCAAGACCACTGATTCCTTCCCTTCAGGCTGGAGTTAACTCACCCTTCCCCAACTCACCTCTTCAGCTTAACTCATTCTGGCCAGAGAGGTGTTGAACCAGGCTCTCAAAATTACCTCTGGGAGCCACTCTGTGATTGCTACAGGTTGAATTGTGTTCCCCTAAAATAGGCATCCTAGGAAACCCAAGGAGAGATCGCTGTGAGTCGGGGCCCACTCAATGGCACATAACAAGAACAGCAACCACCTCTGTGATTATAATTCCACTTGGGAATGGATCGTCTTTGCTATGTTCATGAAACGAGATTAGTGTAGGGAGCATCTTAAGTCAATCTCTTTGGATATGTAGAAGAGGTTGAACAGCAAGGGAGAGAAGCAGAGATGGGCGTAGAGATGTGTGCCCACATGAAGATCACCCAGAGACAAGGAACTTCTCCAGAGCTGACAGAGAAAGTCCTCCCCTAGAGCCAGCATCCTGAATTCAGGCATGTAGCCTCCTAAACTGTGAGAAAATAAATGTCTCGCTGTTAGAGTTGCCCACTTTGGTGTTTCTGTAGTAGCACTAGATGGTTAACTAAGACAGTGATACAACATGGAGATGGCTTGATGCCAAGGACCGTTTGTTCTTCGTTGTTAGCTGGAAAATTTCTACCTTTGGCTATAGTTATATCCATTGGCTTTAGAGAAAATGAGCTTTTTTGGGGATTACATCTCTTTTCAGCCAATGGGAATGAAAAAACTACCCATCAACTTGCTTGTCACCCCACCCCATCTAGTCAGCATGGAGGAAGGGCCACTCAGTCAAGGCTAGACCCAGGCAATTTAGAGCAATCTCCTGGGACATTACCAGGGAGAAAAAAAATAGAGCATTTGATTAAACCCATGCAAGCAGTCAATTCCAGTTTTCCACTTCTAATTTACCAGAGAATTTTAGCTGGGCATGTATTAAGACACTTTCCAAACATCAAACCAAAGCAAACAAAACCCACTGCCATTGAGTTGGCTCTGACTCATGGCAACCCCCACTGGGTTTCCAAGGCTGTAAATCTTTATGGAAGTAGATTGCTTTATCATCGTCCTGCAGAGCCGCTGGTGGGTTTGAACCACCAACTTCCTGGTTAGCGGCCCACTGCCTTACCCACTGTGTCACCAGAGCTCCTTTTAAGATACTGCAGAATCTCCTAACATCAGTTACAGGTTCACCTAATTTTGACTTTAGGAGCTTTAAATAGCTAGTGCATAAGGCATTTGACTGCTAGCCAGAAGGTTGGTGATTCGAACCTACTAGCCACTCAAAGCAGAAAGATGAGGCAGTCCGCTTCTGTAAATATTTGCAGCCTTGGAAGCCCAACAAGGGTCACTATGAGTTGGAATCGACTCGATGGCAGTGAGTTTCTTGAGTTTGAGTATCTCATGTCATGTGAGAGCTGGACAGTGAATAAAGAAGTTTGCAGAAGAACTGTTGCATTTGAGTTATGTTGGTGAAGAATACTGAATGTACCATGGACTGTTGGAAGAATAAACAAATCTGTCTTGGAGGAAGTACAGCCAGAATGCTCCTTAGAAGTGAGAATGGCCAGACTTTGTCTCTCATACTTTGGTCATGCTGTCAGAAGAGACCAGTCCTTGGAGAAGGATATCATGGTTGGTAGAGGAGATGGTCAGCCAAACGGGAAGACCCTCAATGAGATGGATTGACACAAGTCTGTGACAGTGGGCTCAAGCATGGCACTGATGGTGAGGATGGTGCAGGTCTGGGCAGTGTAGAGTTCTGCTGTGCGTAGGGCTGCTGTGGGTTGGAACTGATTTGATGGCACCTGTGATAGTTGGGGTTGTGTGTCAGCTTGGCCGGACCATGATTCCGAGTGGTTTAAGCAGCTATGGTATGGTTGTTTCTGTGAGGAAATCTGATGTATCTGGTTTGAGCAGTCAATCAGTTGAAAGGGAGTTTCAGGGGTGTGGCCTGCTTCCAATATATGGACGTCCTGGGAAAATTCAGGAACCTTCTGTGGATCTGGATTGTGTTGTGCTGCCTACAGCTGTCCTGTGAGCCAACAGTCCACCATTTTGCCTGCTGATCTTGGATTCCTTATCCACCTAGGTCAGCAGCCTGCCAATCTTGAGCTCGTCAACCCCTGCAGCTGTGTGAGTTGGGAAACGCCTCCAGCTTGATGTTTGATGCAGGAAGTTGGGACTTGGCAGCCTCTGTAACCATTTGAGCCATTTTCCTGAGATAAATTTCTCTCTCTCTTCAATAGTTTTGCTTCTGTAGAGAACCCAGCCTAAGTTGGCACCTGGCAATAACAGTATATGAAACAAAGGAAAATGGAGATATTTGGGTGACAGCCAGTTACGGGAACTGCAGAGTTGTCACTGGGAGTAGTTGCACCAGGCATGCAGCTCACCAGTTGTCTTCATTTGGCAGTGAGCAGGCCAGATGTGGGGCTTGGGGCCTGATGTGGGTCCCAGGTCCTCCAGTGGCTGCTGAGGATTCTTCTCATTCCATGGGTGAACTCACTACCTCAGTTCAAGGGCCTTGGAAGCACTGACTGGAAGTCTGGGAGGTTGTTTATAAATTCACACATTCTTTTAGTCATCGTTTGCAAATGCCATCTCCTGGGATGCAGAGCTCTGCCTGCTCCATGGTCCTTGCCACCAATACGGGGAGGCTATGGGGAACCCCAATTAGAAAACCACAGGTCTGTCTCCAACCCCCTCTATTTACAGATGATGAGCTGAGGCCCATAGAAGGAGAGGAGCTTGCTCAAAGTCACACTGGGAGAAGAAGTCTGGACTCAAGCAAGCACCCATCTTCTCCCACTAAGTATAGTGTTCGGAGAATTAATGGAAGCTCTGACTTTTTACATCTTTGTCTAAGAGTAGCTGTAAAAAAATTAGTCTGAAGTAAGAGACTCCTGGGTGCTGTCCAAAATTCAGTGTCCCAACTGAATCTTCACGTGACTCTGCCAGTCACTTCTTGGAGCAGACTGGCATGTCTGGGTGGGACTCTTACAGGATGTAGGTGTGTTCCCCGTGTGTGGCCACCATACCACTATACAAAGAGCTCTGTTGGGGAAATGTTGGCTTGAGAAGTACTGGGGGCACCCTGTTAACTGTTAGGGTCACCAGAGGTGGGAAAGTGTGTCCACACAGCTGGGAGGGGACTTTGAGGGAGGCAGAGAATCAAGGGCTCCCTGTGAGGCGAAGGCTAGCTTGAAGCTAGATGGTGGTGTAGGGTCTGAGTGCTCCCCTGGGACAGAGCCTTCGGCCGCCCTGACACCTGGACACAGTAGGTCTTCATTAAATACTAACCGAATGAATGACAGCAAGTCACTTCTTAGGAGGATTAAAATGCCGAATGCTCTCACATAGATTACATCAGGCATGCAGGTGTCCCGACTACTTCATGTCACCCATTTGCATCCCAGTGTGCTCCTGTGAGTGGACTTAGAGCAGCAGCAATTGTTGGCCGTGCTACTTGTGGGACATGCCATCAAGACATCTCCAATATGTGATCTGTTGGGGAGCAAAAAGGTGAGAGGCCAGGACTTGGTGCACTCTGTATGGTTAATAACGTGAGAGAGGCAGGCCCTCAGATCTTACCTGATCTGCTCAACCATTCTCATTCCAAACCAGTTTTCTCATCCCACCCAGCCTCCATCATCATCCTCAAGCACAGATCTGTTCACACCACTCATTCCCTTCGATATCTCAGTACCTCCCCTCCATCTCCCAAAAGGGCCAAATTCTCTAGCCAGCCCTTCAAGGCTCACCACATTCTCATCCCAGCCTACCTTTGCAGCCTCCTCTCCCAAAAGAGCCCCCCACCTCCAGCCCTCCTCGTTCTCTGTGCACCCTCCGTACACACTCAGGACCCTTGGCTTCTTTGCTTTTGTCTCTCTGGTGTTAGGATGCACTGCTTCTATCTCCAGTGACGGGGTCCTGTGTCTGCCTCCTCTACCAGATGCAAAGGGAAGAATCTGGTAGTAAGTGAGTGAGTGAATGAACTAATTAAAAAGAGTCAGAGGTGGTGATCCCAGGTCATCAAGGAGCCTTGTTCAGGGAGCTGCACGGGGCTCGCCTGAAGCCTGCCCTTGCTTCTGCACCGAAGCTGCACTGGGTCTGTGGGGCTGCATCCAGAGGGCTTAGCTGAGGACTTAAAGCAAAGTCCCTAGCAGTGGTGGAGGAGCCAGCAGCAGGAGTTCTCCAAAGAGACAGTTTGGTGCTCTGTCCAGGCCAAGCACTGGCTACCTGGAGAATGTCCCACCAAGAGTCCAGTTGCTTGAGGGATCGGCTATGCTGGAAAGGGGAGTCTTGGAGTGTCAGGAGGAGTCAGGCTTGCAGCCATGGGCACCCAGTGTGGGATGTAATGCAGAGAGGCCAATGCTGCCTGCTTGGCTAAAAGCTTCCTGAGCTGGGGGAGGGTGACTGTGTTAGGAAAATGCCTTTGGTGGTGGTAAGCAGAAGGAGAACATATTGATTCCTGTTGGACCTCATGAAGAGACTGAGACCCCACGAATTCTGAGTGGGGCGATCTGATCAGAAGGGTTTGCAGTGACTGGACCTTCTGATTTGGGGTGGCAATGTGGCCCAGGAAGGAGGGACTTGGAGGAAGAATGGGATCCTGTAGGGGTCAATGAGGACCAGTTCCATGAGTGTTGGGAGCTCAGTTTGGGATGTCACAGACTCAGCTGGGAAGGAAATGAGAGTGAGCAGGGGTCAATCTAACCATTGATGCTGGATCTGCTATATAAAAGGAGAGAAAGAGAAAGGCAGGGGAGATGGGTAAAGTTAGCCCGGGTTACCGTGATTGTCAGTACTCATAAAGCCCGTACATCTTTGGCCTTGAGCTCTAGAAACAACTAGATGATCTATAGCTTGATACTGTTGAGCTGGTTTCATCCAAGAGCCATGGGATGAAGTTAGAGGGGCCAAGTCCCCACCCCCATCTCCATGAAGGGGTTTATGTACAAGTTAAATGTACTTGATGGGTGAGGCGGGCCCTTCTAGGATCATGTCATCAACATCATTCAGGAGCTCACGTTCACTGGCGGCGTGGGCGTTCTGGAGGCGATGGAGGCGGGCTTGCACCTGCTCCTGCTCCTTCTTGAGCTCCAGGTAGGAGTGGGAGAAGGTGTGGAAGATGGAGGTGGCTGGGAAAGCCATGATGAGGATCCCACTGAGGATGCTGCTGAGAGCCACCATCTGGCCTGGCACACTGCAGGGGACCATGTCTCCATAGCCCACCGTCGTCATGGAGATGATGGCCCACCAGTAGGAGGCCGGGATGCTGGTAAACTCCAGGACACGGCCGGACTCGTTCTCAGCCACGTAGACCAGAGGGGAGAAGAGCGTGACAGCCACACAGAGGAAGAGGAGCAGCAGGCCGAACTCGCGGGTGCAGCGGCGCACGGTGAGCCCCAGCGTCTGCAGCCCCAGCGAGTGGCGGGCCAGGCGCATCACGTACAGGATACGCAGTGCCCGCAGGATGCGCAGCACCAGCCCCACCTTCTCCAGGTAGGAGCTCCCGCTGGGCCTCTCGCCGTCCTGGGGCTCGTCGGACACTGCGAGCGACACATAGTACGGGGAAATGGCCAGGATGTCAATGATGTTCAGTGGCCCTTGGAAGAACTGGCACTTGTTCTGGGCCTGGACAAACCGCAGGCAGAACTCCAGGGAGAACCAGGCCACGCAGATGGTCTCCACGATGAAGATATAGTAGCACTTTTGAGAACATTCACCCTGGAGGGGGGAAGCAGCAGGGTAGACAGTGGACCTGCAGCAGCACTAGCAATGGGGGAAATAACTCTAAGCCAAAAAGCCAGCCATGCCTATTGATGGAGCTCTGTGGGGTACACTCTTAGCTGTTCACCAAACCCGCTTTTACGTAGTTCCCATGCTGTGGCTGGGAGCTCTGGTAGCGTAGTGCCTAAGGCACCCGACTGCTAACCAGAAGGCTGGTGGTTCAAACCCACCAGCCACTCCTCGGAAGGAAGGTTGGGCAATCTACTTCTGTAGTGATACTGCCTTAGAAACCCAAGGAGGGGTCGCTAAGAGTCGAGTCTGACTCGAGGGCACATGATAACAACAACAACATGCTGTGGCTGGGCACATGGCTCACCAGCTAGAGACCATTCTTTCCAGCCTCCCTTGCAGCTAGGTGGCACCAGTGACTAGACTAAGTCCTCCCCTAGGGGATATGGACATAAGTGATACTTGACCCTTCCTGATCCTGGACTTAAGATACAGGTGTGACTGTCAACCACTCAGAGGGAGATCTATGTTGGAGATCCTGGATAGAGTGAGAGAACAATGTGGAACAAAACTCACAATTATTAAAAAAAAAAAAAAAGACCAGGTTTACTGGTCTGATAGAGCCTGGTGAAACCCCTGAAGACTATAGCCCCTATCAGCCCTTCAGGTCTGAAATTGAACCTGCTCCTGTGGCTTCCAGCCAAACAAAAGACAGGCATATGAGCTGAACATTTACATTAGATGGATACACTCCTTGGAGAGATTAATCATGGGAGAATAGAAGGGCTGTGTATGCACAGGGAGACAGCTCGGGGAGCAGGAGTACATGGAGGGAAGGACACAGGGAAGAGGGGTGGAAGTGGGAGGAGAGCTGTTGCATTGTGGGAGATTGCAGTCAATGTCATGAGATAAAGTATATGTGAACTAATGTATAGAAGATGAATTTGCTCTGTAAACTTTCACCTAAATCGCAATAAAAAAGAAACAAAAAGATATGGGAGTTTCTTCCCACTCTTTCTTCTGCCTGTGAGCTGAGACCTCCTACTTGAGCCTGCATCCCAGCGTAGACCAGGCAGGTCAGGCCACTACCTCTGGGGGAAGATGGAGCACCAGAGTGGAGAAAATTGGGGTCTCAGAGTGAGAGCTGCTCACTCGCCTAGATCCCCATGTGTCTATGACACCAGAACTTCTCTTTTGTTGAAAGCCATTTTATCTTGGGGACTCTTTGTTACAGCAGCTAACCTTACCTTAACATAAGCACCTCTTATTATACAAGACCACCACCTGTCTGTCAATTTGTCATACTGTGGTGGCTTGCATGTTGCTGAGATGCTGAAAGCAGGGTTCCCTTGGTGGCCCAGTGTCAGAGCATCTAGACTAAGAATAGGGATAAAGGTCTGAGTCAACTCCTGGAAATCAGCAAATGAAAACCCGTGGATCACAACAGAATACCGTCTGATGCAGTGCTGGGAGATGCAGATGTTACGACCATGATTGTGGTGCAGGACCAGGCTGCTACCCCAAAGCCCACCGCCATCGAGTCGATTCTGACTCATAGCGACTCCCACTGGGTTTCCAAGGCTGTCAATCTTTACGGAAGTAGATTGCCTCATCTTCCTCCAATGGAACAGCTGGTGGGTTGAGCTGCTGACCTTCTGGGTAGCAGCCAAATGTCTTACACACCATGCCACCAGAGCTCCTTGCTAACCCAAAGGTCAGCAATTAACCCGTGAGCCACTCCACAGGAGAGAAATGTGACAATCTGCTCCCCTAAAGATTGACAGCCTTGGAAACCCTGCGGGGCAGTTCTACTCTGTCCTCTAGGGGTGCTGTGAGCTGAAATTGACTTGATAGTAACGGGGTAGAGTCCCGACTCTCACTCAGTTTTGTAACTTATTTTGTTTTGTGACTTCTATGTCTACTGTTCCTCACTCATTCACCCAACAAATATTTACTGAGGCCCCCTTTGTGCCAGCCACTGTGGTTGGCTGTGGGGTACAGTAGTTAGAGAAGCAGACATAGTTCTGGGGGGGCTTGATTAAACTGTTGATGTATTGGGTTTCTTCACTCGGTTCCAGTGAGGTGGGAGCTGTGCCCTCTTCTTCCTTGTATTCACACCTCCCTGGCCCCTAAAATAGTTTCAATAGCCCCTGTGCTACAAAAAGTATGTTCTCTGGACTAACAATATTAACATCCACTGGGGAAAACACAGAACTAAACCCATTGCTGTGGAGTTGATTCTGACTCATACATAGTGCCCCTAGAGGACAGAGTAGATTCCAAAGCTGTCTTCTGTACAGACGCAGACTGCCGCATCTTTCTCTCACAGAGCAGCCAGTGGGCTTGAATCTCTGACCTTGTAGTTAGCAGCCAAGTGCCTAACCACTGCGTCACAGGCTCCTTCATCCCCTGGGAGCTTGTTAGGGACGTGGACTCTCTGGTCAGCCCCACTCCATCCCTACCCAATCTGAATCTGCATTTCTAACGAGACCCCCAGGCTATTCATGATTTACAGGCACTGTACCATTTGAGAGGCTGGTCTGGGGTGAGGGGCAATGGTTCTCAGCCTTGGCTGCACATAGGAGAATTGCAGGGGGAACTTTGAAGAAACCCTGATGGCTAGGCTGTGCCCCCGGAGACTCTAACTGATTTGCATTAGGGCCTGAGCAGTTGAGTTTTCCAGGTGCTCCACAGATGACTGCAGCATGGAGCCAGGGCTGAGAACCAGGCAGTGAATGTCATGTACACATGTGTATTACATACACGTTTGATGGGGGAATGAACAAATGGCTGAGTGAAAAGCAGGATGTTGACAGCTGCAGTTTTCTTTCGATTAAAATGCTCTGAAGTGGAAAAAGAAATCATTTCCAGTGTCTGGGCCTGCATGAATACTAAATCGAGACGTGCTTTATGTCTGGCTGCAGGAGAACGAGAAAGCAAGCCAGTCCATTGCAGTCTTTTCTCACTTGCCTGGGTTGGGCAGCTTTCGTCCTTTCTATCTGGTTGACCAAAGGAGTGGGAAGCCCAGATCCTGAGGCCTGGGTCCAGAGTCGTGTTCTTTGACTGACATAGGCAAATCCTTTGGCCTCTCTGGACTCTGGGATCTCTACTCCCCGAAGGGGAATCTGTGGGTCATGTAAGTGGTTAATGAGCTCAGCTGCCACTGAAAGGTTGGAGGTTCCAGTCCACCCAGAGGAGCGTTGGAATAAAGGCCTGGCAATCTGTTCTGATAACTCAGCCACTGAAGACTTTATGACCCCCAAGACTATGGCCCTTAGACACCCTTTAAGCCAGGAGCTGAACTCACCCCCACGGCTCAATTTTCAGCCAAATGATAGGCCTGTAACATCAACAGTAACCCAAAGAGGTATGCACTCCTTAGTACAACCAATCGTGGGAGGTGAAACAGCAGCATTTGCCCAGGGATAAAGCTGAGAAGGCGGGAAGGGGTAGGAAAGAATAAGGGAAACTGGAAATCCAGGGAGGGAGCCGGGGGAGCGCTGCTGCATTTGGGGATTGTAATCGTCGCAAGACAAAGTATGATTTGTTGAATGGAAAGCCAGTTTGCTCCGTAACTTTCACTCAGATCACAATAATAAAAAACTCTGTTGAGGACAGTTCTCCTCTGACACACAGGGCTGCCATGAGTCTGCTTCCCCCTCAAGGGCTGTTGCTGTGAATGGCGATACTGTATGTAGTTAGCAGCCTGTTACGAGGATGGTGAGGCTAAGGGGCACAGGATACATTGTAAAGCTTTCTGTGAGATGATGCACTAGTCACAGGCAGTAGCCTGCCTGGTCATCGTGAGGGCGGCAATGTCGTCCTGCTCCTCTGGATGTCACAGGAACAACCTGCATTAGCATCCTGACCCCTAGCCCCTTCCCCACCATGGCCATCACAAACTCTCTCTGCATCGGTGTCCAGTGGAGAGGTTGCAACAGAACTGTTCCTCCACACCTCAGAGTCCCCTGGGTCAGATTCCCCTAGGGTGCTTATCACAAATGCAGATTCTTGGATCACAGAATCGGAGCCCTGGGGAGCTGGGGAAGCTGCATGTGGTCAAAAGGCGCCTGGAAGATTTTCAGACTCTGGTCTAGATTTTCCCTACAAGGCCCCTTTCTCCTGACATTCCGGCTGTTTTTCTGTGGCTTAAGGGACTCTTTCAGCCTAGGAATACCTTTGCCAAACCAGTGACCCCACAGCTCTGGAAGGTGACCCCAGGACTGAGAAGGCTCCCTCCTCCAGTGCTGATATGACGTCTTAAAAGCCTGCACCACACATCCTCCCTCCTGAGGCCCGGCTCTCCGGTCACCTCCCTGCCCTGCAGCAAGTGTCTGCCAGTCACTCCATCTGCACTGCTGCTCTGCTATGCATGTTTAAAGCAGCCTCTCCGCTGGGCACAGCGGTGGCTGCGGACTGGCCCGCATCACACAGTGGGGGACTTGGGGCCAGAACTGAGGAGAGAGTTCCCAGCCTAGCCTGGGGTGAAGAGACAAAAAGGAAAGAGTTCTTCTTTCTTGAAGGAAATTTCTGACTGTATTGTGTAGGCAGAGAGAACAACTATTCCTGGTTTGCCCAGAACTTTCTGGGTTTGAGCACCAGAGGTGTCACTTCTTGGAAAGAGTGCACTCCTTTCTGGGCAGACCAGGGAGGTTGTCACCTTATCTGCAGTCCTTGTCAGCAGCTCCAGTGAGGTGTGTTCTCATTCCTTCATGCAAAGACCTGTTGTCAACTCTGAGGAGGTGGGAGTGTGAAAGATCTGGGTGAGTGCTGCAACAGGGACCAATCTCGCAGGCAGTGTGGAGCTGAAGCCAGACGCAGAAGCCAGCTGCTGTGTGTGTCCATTTAGGTGAAGGTCAGGCACTCATGTCAGGTCACAAAACCAGGTCATCAGTGTAGTGGGTGGGGAGGAGCTGGCTGAAGGCCCGTCTGGGGTGATGGAGAGAGTCTGTGTTAAATAGGGGTGTGGCTTACATGGTATATTCATT